TCTGCATCTGTAATGTCTCTATTTACCCCAACGTCTGTTACAGTAACCGTTGGCCCAGACTAGCACAAGCGGGCGAAATTTAATTTTTTTTTAGTTTTTTTCCAGTAACAGAGAAAAATCCTCAGAGGAAGGGCTTTCGCTGGGAGATTTTAGGATTGAGGGATTTTTCAGGGATTTTACAAGAACTTTACAAGGAAAGAAATACAGTGAATATTGGAAATTAAAGAAAATGAATTTCTCCTATTCTCCTCCTAAATCTTTTTGCTCTCCGGTATAGGAAAATTCTTAAACTTCGTAACCTTTTCAAATTATCAAGGTCATCTGGATAACCGTTCTGGATCCCCAGTGCTAACGATGTCACCAGGAAGCACTACATATACATAACAGTTATTACAAACACAACTTACCATACGATTTATTGAATGTTCCCGAAAAGCATCCACATGAATTGTAGCATCATCCGGTGGCCGAATCCTGAAAACAGTGACGGAAATCGGTTCGTCTTCAATACACAGTGGCGGACTGTCGCCATTTGGCCAGAATGCGGCATCAACGATACGTGATACCCGTGAGCGCGAGAAGAAGGAAATGAGTGACCTGAATGACCGCCTCGCCTCCTACATCGAAAAGGTCCTGAACTAAAGATACATAAATAATCGTTAGCGAACAAATAAAGAATCAAGGTTTTGTAACAAATGTAAATCGTAATTTTAGGTGCGTTTCCTGGAAGCGCAAAACCGCAAACTGGCCGCCGATCTGGATTTGCTGCGTGGCCGCTGGGGAAAGGACTCCCTGAGCGTTCGCGCCATGTATGAAGGCGAGCTGCAGGTAATTTGGTTTGCTCTTATTTCAACATTTACGATGGTTTGCTGAATCCAGCAGCTTATGAGGAATACTCTAGCCGTCAGATCACTTAAAATTTCTTGAATTAGAATTGAATAAGTAGATAAATCGTTAGAACTAGAATAAAGGAAAAGTGGATAAAGTGAAAAAACAAGTAGATAAAAGGAAAGCAAAATAAATCGTATAC